GTGCCCAGTCATTGGTGTCAGTGGGAGGAATAGTGCCCCGTCATTGGTGTCAGTGAGAGGAATAGTGCCCCGTCAATGGTGTCAGTGGGGGGGGAATTGTGCCCCTTCATTGGTATCAATGGGGGGGGAATATTATCCCATCAATGGTGTCAGTGGGTGGGGAATAGTGCCCCATCATTGGTGTCAGTGTGGGGAGGAATAGTGCCCCATCATTGGTATCAGTGGGAGGAATAGTGTCCCATGATTGGTATCAGTGGGAGGAATAGTGCCCCATCATTGGTATTAGTGGGAGGAATAGTGCCCCATCATTGGTGTCAGTGGGAGGAATAGTGCCCCATCATTGGTGTCAGTGGGAGGAATAGTGCCCCATCATTGGTGTCAGTGGGAGGAATAGTGCCCCATCATTGGTGTCAGTGGGAGGAATAGTGCCCCATCATTGATAATAGTGGAAAGAATAGTGCCCCGTCATTGGTGTCAGTGGAAAGAATAGTGCCCTGTCATTGGTGTCAGTGAGAGGAATAGTGCCCCGTCATTGGTGTCAGTGGGAGGAATAGTGCCCCATCAATGGTGTCAGTGGGGGGGAAATAGTGCCCCATCATTGGTGTCAGTGGGGGGGGGAATAGTACCCCATCATTGCTGTCAGTGGGGGGGAATAGTGCCCCATCATTGGTGTCAGTGGGGGGAATAGTGCCCCATCATTGGTGTCAGTGGAGGGGAATAGTGCCCCATCGTTGGTGTCATTTGGGGGAGGAATAGTGCCCCATCATTGGTGTCAGTGGGGGGAGGAATAGTGCCCCCTCGTTGGTGTCAGTGGATGGAGGAATAGTGCCCCACCATTGGTGTCAGTGGGGGGAGTAATAGTGCCCCATCGATGGTGTCAGTGGGGGGGGAGGAATAGTGCCCCATCGTTGGTATCAGTGGGAGGAATAATGTCCCATCATTGGTATCAGTGGGAGGAATAGTGCCCCATCATTGGTATTAGTGGGAGGAATAGTGCCCCATCATTGGTGTCAGTGGGAGGAATAGTGCCCCATCATTGGTGTCCGTGGGAGGAATAGTGTCCCGTCATTGGTGTCAGTGGGAGGAATAGTGCCCCATCATTGGTAATAGTGGAAAGAATAGTGCCCCATCATTGGTGTCAGTGGAAAGAATAGTGCCCCATCATTGGTATCAGTGGGAGAAATAGTGCCCCGTCATTAGTGTCAGTGGGAGGAATAGTGCGCCGTCATTCGTGTCAGTGGGAGGAATAGTGCCCCGTCAATGGTGTCAGTGGGGGGGGGAATAGTGCCCCATCATTGGTGTCAGTGGGGGGGGGAGGAATAGTGCCCCATCATTGGTATTAGTGACACCAATGATGGGGCACTATTCCTCCCACCACAATGATACTTACTTTGCTGACCCCTGCTCCAGCCTGTGCTCGCTCCCTCTCCCATCCACAACCAGCATACCTGTCTGCAGCAGCATCATCTGCACGGCACAGACACTTACCTGTCAGCTGTTTCCTTCTCCCTTACTCGATCTTCTTTGATTTTCGCGCTGCCACTCGGCTCCTCCTCTCCAAGCTCCACCACCTCGCCGGTGATTGGCCGCCTGTGTGCCTTTCCTGAGCTACAGTTCCAGTGGCCAATCACCGCAGAGGAGGCAGAACTTGCAGAGGGAGGGACAAGCTGCCATAGGCTGTTGAGTGATCCCAGGGGTGTGGTCAGATGACAGGGGCGCATGTCATCCCGCCCACACATCACGATCCAGGGAACTGAAGACACCAGACCTGCTGACCTGACAACCTCTCTACCCCACCTCAAGCAGCGCCTCGCGGACCGGATCGACATGGGACTGGGACACGGAGTCACGGACCCAGGTAAGGTACAGCAGCCCGCCCCTGTACTAAGTGTCCCTTCTGTGGGAAAGGGGAGGGTGGCGTTGCCACCCCCCCCTAAAAAGTGCCGCCCTAGGCAAAATGCCTTGTTGGTCTCGCGGCAAATACACCTCGGGTGCATCTCAGGTCGGCTTGCCTTTTTAATAGCATACAGTATAGTGTACAGCCTTTTGAATGTTTATTCTTTGTATTCTCTTATTGTTTTTTATCACTGGCTGGCTATTATACTGTGACTTTTGTATGTAGGGGATGTTACCCCCCTTCTTTTTGATATATTTATACTGGTGATGTTTTGTACTGTTCTTTGAGTGTGGTGATGTCTACATAAATAAAGAATTTGAAAAAAAAAAAAGTTTTTTTTCTTTTAATGGCTTTACTCTCTATTATTAGCTTTTGATCTTAGGAGGAACAAATCACGATCCCAATATTCATGGTTGGCCTCTGATGTGTCTTCTCTTGGCTAGTAAAGCCATTGCACTTCGTGCCCAATATACCAGTTCAGAAAGCCAGAAGAAACTGCCAGGCGCCATAGAAGCTGTGGTTCTTCTTGGAATGTTGGGTGGCCCTGGGATTAAGGAATGCTAAAGAGCGGCAAGGACAGGATCAAAGAGATCGGCCTAGGCCAATTTAAAAGGTTGAAATGGAAGGTCATCCAGATCATGCCATTAGTAGTGTTGATTATTGAAAATGTGTAATGAGATAATTCTGCAAGCTGATCTTTTCTGAAGGAAATACGAGTCGCTTGGCTGGTTTCAGGTTCTCATCCCAAAGTACTGAAACCAGAACTGGCCAGCATTTTCAGAAAGTGGCCATCAACAGCCCCCATATTTCTTAGCACAGGTCTTCTTTAAGGGCTCATGTACACTGCAGCTGATAAACTCACGTTTAGGAGTTGTTCAGCGTTTTTTTCAGCAGCCCCTGAACTCTCCCTAATGTTTTCCTATGTGTCCATGTACACAACTTCGTTTACAGTCATTTATAGGCAGCTGAGTTTACAGTAGTTTTTTTGAACGCAACAAACTTGCATTCAGACGTCGATTTTATCAGTGTTTCAAACGCAAAACGCTTGCAAACGCGTCAAAATGCAGCAAATTTGCCGCGTTTATAAGCGTTTGCGTTTGAAATTTTTTTTTTTTACTCTTCTAGTTCCCGATGCTGTCCAGAGCCTTTTTTCATCAGGAAAAATGCATGCAAAGAGTTTTCAAGGTGCTCAGATGGACAAAACACTGAACACAGGATGTTCCAAGCTTGTCACACATTGTAAAGACCAATTCACACCTCAGACCTCTCCCACCCTTGGAAACATTCACACCTCAGACCTCTCCCACCCATGGAAACATTCACACCTCAGACCTCTCCCACCCTTGGAAACAAAAGATATGTTAATGACCATTCACACCTCAAATTCAGCATGAAGACCCCCTGCCAGGTGAGCCTAAGGACTCACTCCACCAGACACCTTTCCTACCCTTGGAAACAAAAGAAATGTTAATGAGCAACTCACACCTCAGCTAATCTCAATACATACTGCTGTCTCTGCTTCTACTCTCTGTATTTCTCTGATACAGTCTGAAATAGTTAATAATGTACCACTTTTCAGTGCATTCTGGGCATTTGGGAGGTTCTCCTGTGCTTATCTTTAAAAAACGCTTCTAAATGCAAAACGTGCATAAACGCGGTATGCAAACGCGACTAAACAGACGTTTTTAACCTACGTCACAAAGCACCCAGCCTTTGAGCCATTCCCCCTCACAGCGATCGGCTATGAGAGCGAACTGACTGCTCGGCACTATTACTGTTCTAAATAGTTAGAGTGTAAAAAAAATGATCACCCCCGTGAGAAGTCATATAGTGACACCATACTGCCCTCCAGTGCAACAGCCATTGTCACCGATCAATAGCTACAGCAGTACCATGCACCATAATGCCATTGCACTCGTTCTGGTAGCAATATGTAAAAAAAATATATATATTTTTTTTTTACTTATTGTCCTTAGAGCAAGCACTGTTTCACTATGGCGACATTGTACTGCTGTGGCAGTGAATGTGTACAATGGCGGGCTGACCCATCCACACCCACCGAGCACTCGCTGCACTATGGCAGTTGCCAGTCACATGTAAATAATCTGGGCGGAGCTAGCAGCTGCGTCAGTCTTTACATTTCAACGAGTCACTGATGTCGGGAGAACGCTGAACGCCATGATTGAAGATAGATTTCATCGATGGAACCATTTTTGGGTGCTTTTTTGGGTTTTTTTTCATTAAAGGACTTGTTAAAAACCTTTGGTTTTTTTTTGTTCAATTAAAGGAATTTTTAAAAAGTATGGCGTCTTTTTTTTTTCTAAATTTAACCCTTTAGTGAATGAGTAGGGGTACAGGTACCCCTTACTCATTCACAAGGGGGAGGGGTAATCTGATACTTATTACCCCCCCTGCCCGCAGACTCCCACAACCACTGGGCCAGGGTTGTGGGGAAGAGACCCTTGCCCCCATCGGCATGAGGACACCATCCCAATGCTGAGGGCACGTGGTCTGGAAAGCCGCAGGGAGGGGGGGACGCTTGATCATTTCCTCCTTTACTGCCCTGCCAGGCCTGTGCTTGAATCAAGGGTCTGGTGGGGAACCCCTTAAAAGTCCTACCAGGCTTAAAGAGCCTGGTATTGCTTTTAGGGGGAACCCATGCACTTTCCCCCCCCCATTTTTGGGGGGGTGGGGTTGCCCTTCACAGTCCTACCAGGCTTAAAGGGCCTGGTATGGCTTTTAGGGGGACAACCATGCATCTTTTCTCCCAATTTTTGATGGGTGTGGTTCCCCTTCAAAGTTCTACCAGGCTTAAGGGGCCTGGTATGGCTTTTAGGGGAAACCCCATGCACCTTTCCCCCCCCATTTTTGGGGGGTGGGGTTCCCCTTCAATGTCCTACCAGGCTTAAAGGGCCTTGTATGCCTTTTCGGAGGAACACCACGCAAATTTAAAAAAAAGAATTACTGTGGGGTCCCTCCTAACCTTCCTACCGGACCTAAAGGGCCTAGTATGGATTAGGTGGGACCACACACTGTTTTTTTTAATGTATTTTGTGCTTTATTTTTATTTGTTTTTTTAATATCATTTTTTTTTCACGGAGAGTATACTCCCCTTTGTTTTCGGCAGTGACCGTGGCTCTCACAGTGCATTGTCCTGTGACTGGCCAAAGCATTACACCTGACCTGTGGTCAGGTGCATTGATTTGGTCAGTCACAATGCACTGTGAGAGTGCAGTGCATTGTGGGGCACTTGGCGGGCAAACAGCCCGACGAACGCCCTTACTGTTTGTGTGTTCAGCGAACACATGAACGGACAATTTTTTTTTTTAAGTCCGCAAACGTGCAAACTACAACGAAAAAACCCGTAAGTGATCACAAAAAAAAGTGCAAGTGCGAACACCACATGAAAAAGTGCACTTAGGGGTGTGTTTGTCCTACCCCCGAAGGGGTTGAACCGTTACCCTGATCCCCGGGGCATGAAGCTCCTGACAGGGACAAGGTTCCCATTTGGTCCTCCTGGCCAAAAGGCCTGGTGGACCACCGTTCCTTATGCCCAGCCGAAGCCGGACATCCAGTACTAGGTCAGGGGGTTCTCCCAAAGAGAAAACCCCCTAGGGATCAGGGGAGGAAGGAACCAAAAGGCCACACATCCTCCCCCTAGACTTCAGGGTAGGCCCGAGGACCCACACCCTCCATCCGTGAAAAACACACACATAAGTAACAGAAAAGTGGCAAACGTGGGAGGTGAATAAATTAAATAAATAAAATAAATAGAAAATAAAAATGTGGTACCGTGCCAAATTGAGCACAGACCAGGCCCTGAGGCCCGTAGCAAAAATTGCCCTGGACTTAGCCAAAAGGCCTGGGTCCTTAGGGCGCTGTGCAAAAAGAGTGAAAAACAGTGACCATGTGCCATCTTCACACTGTGGGGTCCCACACCCAGGTGTTACTAGTGGCACCCCTGAGGGCGTCTACTCAGGGGGCACTGAGTTTGCGGACTTTTTGCGTCCTCAGCCCCTGGCCAGACCAAGGTAGATCCGTCCAAACCAGGAGGTACTGGGTCTTTCCAGCTTTCCCAGAGGAATTACTCCCAAGGCCCCAGAACGAATCATGGCGCTCCCTGGTTTCTGTCCCTCCGGTCCAGCCTTCCGGACCCCCATCATACCAGTGAGGGTACTATACAACAGCCATCCCCGCAAAGCTAGAATGGCCGGGAGCACCCCCACTGGACACTGATAAGAACAGATACTACACTTGATCTTAGCCAAAAGGCCGAGAAGCGATGGGGGGGTGGGGTCCCCCTTCACAGTCCTGCCATGCTTAACCACTTGCCGACCGCGCATAGCCGAATGACGGCTGCACCGCGGCCAGCTAGTTCTGGGTGGACGTCATATGACGTCCTCCCAGAACGCGCTCTCCTGCGCGCCCCAGGGGGCGCGCACCCGGCGATCTCCGTGATCGCTGTGTCCTACGGACACAGCTGATCACGAGATGTGGTGAAAGGCCGATCCCACCGGCCTTTTACCACGTGATCAGCGGTGTCCAATGACACGCTGATCACAGGAAAATGCAAGTGCCGGTTCTCGGCTGCACTTTCCTCACGCTGTCAGATCGTGAGGAAAGTACTGCCGAGAACCGGCAGTTGTCAGAGCGGGGATCGGCACCGATCATCAGGGCACTGATGATCAGTGCCCTGATGATCGGTGCCCAGCAGTGACCCCCGCAAGTTCCTCCCAGCAGTGCGCCCACTAGCCCCGCCCACCCATGCCCAGCAGTGCCCCCACCTGTGCCCAGCAGTGCCCCCACCTGTGCCCAGCAGTGCCCCCACCTGTGCCACTCTGCAGTGCCACCTACCTGTGCCCAGAAGTGCCACCTACATGTGCCAGCAGTGCCACCCACCTGTGCCCACCCACCTGTGCCCACCAGTGCCACCCACCTGTGCCCACCAGTGCCACCTACCTGTGCCCACCCACCAGTGGTGCCCACCAGTGCCGCCCACCAGTGCAGCCCAGCAGTGCTGCCAGTCAGTGCCACCAGTCAGTGCCCAGGGGTTGTGCCAGTCAGTGCCGCCAGTCAGTGCCCAGAAGTGATGCCAGTCAGTGCCGTCTATCAGTACCCATAATCAGTGTCACCTATCAGTGCCGCCTATCAGTGCTGCATATCAGTGCCGCCTATCCGTGACCCCTAATTAGTGCTGTCTATCAGTGCCGCCTATCCGTGCCACCTCATTAGTACTGCCTATCAGTGCCCTTTAGTGCTGCCTATCAGTGCCCATCAGTGCCGCCTATCAGTGCCCATCAGTGCCGCCTCATCAACGCAAATCAGTGAAGAAGAAAAAATACCTGTTTGAAAAATTTTATAAAAAAAACAAATAAACTTTTTTTTTTTTTTTTCAAATTTTTTGCACTTTTTTTAATTTATAGCGCAAAAAGTAAAGCGCCCAGTGGCGATTAAATACCACCAAAAGAAAGCTCTATTTGTGAGAAAAAAATGATCAAAATTTCATATGGGTACAATGTTGCATGACGGCGCAATTGTCAATCAAAGTGCGGCAGCGCTGAAAGCTGAAAATTGGCCTGGTAAGGAAGGGGGTATAAGTGCCTGGTAGGCAAGTGGTTAAAGGGCCTGGTATGGCTTTTAGGGGGACAACCATGCATCTTTTCTCCCAATTTTTGAGGGGTTTGGTTCCCCTTCAAAGTCCTACCAGGCTTAAGGGGCCTGGTATGGCTTTTTAGGGGGAACCCCATGCACCTTTCCCCCCCATTTTTGGGGGGTGGGGTTCCCCTTCAATGTCCTACCAGGCTTAAAGGGCCTTGTATGGCTTTTAGGAGGAACACCACGCAAATTTAAAAAAAAAAATTACTGTGGGGTCCCTCCTAACCTTCCTACCGGACCTAAAGGGCCTAGTAAGGATTAGGTGGGACCACACACTGTTTTTTTTTTATGTATTTTGTGCTTTATTTTTTATTTGTTTTTTTAATATCATTTTTTTTTTCACGAAGAGTATACTCCCCTTTGTTTTCGGCAGTGACCGTGGCTCTCACAGTGCATTGTCCTG